TTAATAGAAAACAGTATATACACATTCTTTCATTTGCTCCTAAGAGTACAAGCCAGTAGAGACCCAAGTAAGGGAGCTCAGCCCTCACTTCGTTCTGTCAGATGCCTGAGTGCGTCTCACACGAGACAAGAAGCCACCTCTTCCCTATCAGGCTCCTCCCAGGGAGAGGCTCAGTCCATCTTCATGCTGCTCTGACCACTACTCGGATGTTCATGGGAGCCAGACTCTCAAAGCCCTCTGTGGAGCAGGAGGGAACCAACACAGCAGGCCAAGAGTGCGGCGAGAACGTCAGTATTACCTGGATTCTGTTGTGCTTGTCACAGTCCAAATATATGAGGTCCTTGGGGAATAAAATCTGGTCAGCTAAGAACAGGCAGAGGACAGAGGTGCCCACAGTTCACGTTTTAGATATTTGAAATGTTCAGAAATAAAGTGGTATCTCATAAAAAAAAAAAAAAATTAAAAGGGCAGTTGGAAAGCAAGAGAGGAACAAAGGAAAGAAAGAGACAAAGAATTGTTTAGTGAATATGAGCTAGCAAGAATACCTTACTTAGAAAGGAGGGGCAAATGCCTAAAAATGTATGAGCCATGCAGGTTAATTCGGTATGAAACACAGGAGGATATATGGGTCTCATAATGCTTCTTTAACAGCACAGACCTCTACCTGTGCCACACACTTTTAAACATACACAAGTCTAATTCAGAGTCATTCTAGATTAAAAGTACAAAATGCAGATTTAAGGGACTGGGCGGGGGTCTATGGAGGAAAGGCTGGCCACAGAGCAGATCCTGACAGACACACAAAGATGAAACTATGGGGATCTCTGGGGGAATTCTAGTTGAGACAGCAGCAAAACTATCAAAGGATACTGACTGGTTCTTGAGAGGGTTATTTTCAAATATAACTTCAGAGCTACACTTGTTAAAATCTTTTCAAAAAGTGTTATGGTTCGCATTTAGTTGTCCCTGCAAAGCCTCATGCAGTCTTGGGGCAGACTTCTAGACTTCGTGCTTCATTCAAGATCCAGCGCTGAGATAACGTGTCTGAGTGATCACCGGCCTGGGGCACAAGCCTGGACGCAACGCAACGTAAGGGAGACAGACTTGCTCTCTGCTGCGGTTGCCATGGTTGCCGCTACTCTGCCCTTGTGCTCTTGCTGTTTTGCTGTTTTCCACTGCCATGAACTGCTGCCTTCTGCCATGTGCCACGCTTCCTTGGAGCCACCTGAGCCTGGACCGAAACCTCCACTAGCGTGAGTTAAATAAAGCTTTTCCTTCCTTAACTTTGGGTGTCAGGTATTTTGTCCCAGAGGCGAGAGAAAGGTAACTGAGACAAAAACTTTTTTAATCTTGTGATAAGTCTATCACAAAGTCTATTTTAACAAAGTGACTATATTTCTTTTTATGAAATCGCTATTTTTCTATGATGCAAACAGTTAGGCAGCAGAGTTTTAAGGAAGTGTTACTTTATTTAAAAATATACCCTTTTGTGTGAGAGGTGCTCAGAGAAGGTTCGTTTTCATTTAAAGCCTATGTCTCTGACTTGTTCTCACCCTGCTACTTTTATTTCATTTTAGATGAGTGCTTTCTTACTCTGATTTTTCCTCTATGCCTGCAGAGAGCAGGGCAGGCTCTTTTATCTCTTCCTGTTTTTATCAGGACACTAGTCCCTCAGAGTAGGTCCCATGTTATGGTCACCTTTAACCCCAATTACCTGCTTCAAGGCCCCTTCCAATCGTCACTGTTTCAGTCTATGAATATTCAAGATACCAGAATTCAGCTCATATCTGGGTGAGTAGCAGGGCTGGGAAACCCCAAAGAGAACTGCTTTCTCGGATGAGCTGGGAAGACATCTATTCCCACCCTTCTTTAACTCCAGCACAACTGCAAGCTCTGTGTGTGGGGGGCCCATGGGGAAGCCTTGTCCCAGGAAGACACAGCAATGGGGAGCAGGAGCAAGACAGGCAGGGAACCCAAGGAGAATGCGGACTTTGAAGCCATTCAGCATTTGCACTGTCTCAACAAACAGATGAAAAAAGAAAATTAATTTAAGGGAATATACTTTAACCAAAAAAAAAAAAAAAAAAAAAAACCATGAAAGTAAAAGTTCAGAAGAACATGAACTCACAATCAAGAATCAATGACCACATTAGAAAATAAGACATCACAAACTTGCTTCAGCCAAAACAACAAAATATTAATTCAGATGCAAACAAAAAGAAATATGCTGAAATCATCACATTTGGATCAAAAGATGAGGATTTCATGTTTAAAGAAAATAAAAAAGGGGAAAAACAGAAATGTCTTAAATGACAAAGTTTAAGAACCAAACACTTCTGAAAACCAAAAAAACACAGTAACTAATCTATAACATGACAAATGAGTTACAGAGGTGTGTGAGGGGACAGAATTATCGAGTCAGACAAATTTAAAGAAATGATCCATAATTCAACACACAGAGACTAAGACATGGAAATACAAAACAAAGATTGAAGGATCGAGAGAAGAGAATGAGATGGTAAAACAGCAGGTTAATCTGATTTCTCAAGGGAGAGAACAGAGAGAATGGAGATATGCGACCTTCAGTCAGAGCTAAGTGTTTTCCAGAATTCTTGAAAGGCACTAAGTATTAATTCAGGATAATAAATGGAAATTGCAACGATCATAGCATTAACATAACGAAACATAACATTTCATTGTAGAAATAGGTTTACCAAATATACTCATTATATTTATCAAATATAAATCTTAAATGTGACTTGGGAGGGAATGAACTGATTAATTACAAAGGAGCACTGACCGTATCAACAGCTGTCACTTCTGAAGTCACAGCAGAAGACAGTGGACTGACAGGAAATACTGAGAGCACAGAGCTGTCCACGCTGAACTGCGGCCAGCCAGCTTCCAAGGACAATGAAGGGGTAACCGTTGAAGGTCTGCCCAAACACTGACTGCGGAACTTACCGACGCTGGAGTTAAACCAAGGAAGAACTACGATCCCAGACAGTTTATTTGTGAGCAGAGGGCACAAAATAAGGTTTTGTTCAGTAAAGATATTAACGGTATTTTGTTAACTATGCAAATCATTACCTAGTGAGCACTAAAAGATAAAAATTTAGTGTTAGCTTTTAACCTAGGAGAAGAATGAAATTAAAAAGAATTTTAAAAAACACAGTAAAAGTCAATCTAAAAGAAAACAAGACTATGAAAAAAAAGGAAGTTGGTATAAAAATCACAAAATAAAATGGGACATATACATTCTAATACATGAGTAATTTCAATAAATGTAGGAGTAAACAGATTAAAAATCTATTTAGAATAATCAGAAAAAATCTAGTTATGGTTTTTAACAGATATATCTAAAACATAACAGAAAGGTCCAACCAAAGGATGAAAATCATGTATTATACAAATACTAACTAGCAGGTGTGACCTATATTTTAAAACCTCCTAAATTTAGAGCAACATAAATGAAATAAAAGTTTCACTACAAATACAGAATATGACTGTAAGAGTTCTAAAACTTGAAGATAAGACAACTCTAAACATGTACACAGCTAGTAACAAAGCTTCAAAATGTATTTTTAAAATGGGATAGAATTACAGAAATAAGTTAGTGAACCCACTAGAAAAGGAAATTCTAACATATTTCAGAATCTGAAAGATCAAGTAAGAGGAGAAAAAATAGAACTTGCTCAATACAAATAATAAGCTAGGTCTAACAGTGAACAACTAAAAAATACACTTTTAAAGCACTCAAGGAACATTTATAAAAATTGGCCATATTCTACATTACAAGGCAACAAATTTGAAAAGACCAGTATTACAGGTACCTATTCTCTAAATATAATTTAAGGAGAAATCGAAAACATAATTTAAAAATCCATGTTAGAAAATGAAAGAAAAAAACCCTCCTATATATAAGGCCAAAAAAGAAAAGCACAACGAGGAACAGAAAATACTTAAAAACAAACATTTTTACAGTGCTTTTAAATTTAAAAAATTGGATCATTTGACCATTATAATCCTGAGAGCTATGCAGGACCCAGAGTATAGTGTTCAATGTAGCAGAAATGTAAGTTATGTAATTATTTAAATTGATTTTTTATAGCATACACGAAACAAAAGTGATCTGGAAACTGGGAAGCAAAAGTGAACATGTTTAGCAATAAAAATGGCAAAAGGAAGGCAAAGAAACTGACTCTTTTAGAAGCTGTATGAATGGTAACAATCTAACAAAGTTACAAAGAAAGAATTGAGCATCTTAACATTTAAGGCTTAAAACCACCCTCAACTCACTGTGGTCTCGGAAGCCCCTAGACACTTATGGTGTGTTGGTAATTAATGACATTCTGAAAAGGGCCTATGATACAAAGGGAATTTTCATTTAGGGCTCCCCTCCCTTTTCATGCATGGGATATTTTTGGAAGTATTTTTCTTTTCCATCCACTGAAAGAGAATTAAGAAAATTCCAACATGCCGGAGTGTCAGCAAGTGCTCTTTTCAGTCCAGGTACCAGAGAATGATGGATGAACCTGTCAAAGCTACAGTAGCAGACAGAGAAAGTTGGCAGAAGTTCAGTATTATTGAAAGAAATCTCAAATACTTATTTCATCTGCTCTATTAACTTTAATCACATTTTCAACATGCAGCCAAGAATGAAGCTTTGACAGTACGCCATAAATTCACACAATCAACCATTGTCAATTTTCTGCAATCCTAACACTGAGATAACACAAAATAGGGTATTTTCTTTCCTTTGCCTTTCTTTACAGAAAAGCAATAAAAATATTAAAAAAGATTTATTCATCCTGCAAATTAATTTGCCATACATCTCTTGATTATTGCCTTTTACTTCTGCTCAGTTTATTGCAAATTTTTAAAAAAAAAATCAACTTAGCTCTTCTCTTCCATTAGATTGCTAAATGCAGATTTCAAGATCACAGTGATGACAGAACTGGTACGTGTTTCTTCATAATACACCTGCTTATTTATGAGCACAGACATTAGCACCACACAGGGTTTACACTGAACATGGATCATCTGTCACGTGGACAAACACTTCTGGTTCATTCGGAGCCAGAATCCTTAGGTGGTTCTGGAGGGACTCCTTGGTGGATTCTGCTGGTCACTCATGAAACACTTGAAACAGGTACAGAGATTATTCATGTTATACACTTACCCACAGCAAACAGACACAAAATGAGGTAAACAGTTGGGCAAGACTACGGTTCTTGAAAGGGCTAAACATCAAAATGTATTTTTGGTGAACTTTTTGTCCTAAGCACATTTTAAAAGATAAAAATATTAAGGACTAGAAGGCCACAACCCTTAATACATGTGTCTTATCACCCAGGGCAGTGCACGGCATTAAGCAGCCCTATGAAACCTGCAACCCCAACAAATCTGGAATCACCACAAGTGGTTCAAGCCTACCGTGTCCATCTTTGTCACAGTGGAGACAATGTTTTGACTCTTACCTCTCTCAAGTGGGATCTTTCTCTAAGGCCAGCTGTTTGTCCAACACTACTCATGGAATAATACTGTATGCACTCTAATCCCCCTCACAGCCAGGGAAGCTATGACAGCAGCTGCTCTTTAAGCCCCAATTGTAATGTTAACCTTGTATGCGCATGGATTACGTTATCTTGTTTAAGAAGTCTGTGCTTACATCTCTGAGCTAAAGGCTGGAGAAGAAAACCAATTCTGATTAAGAAAGAATAAACTGATCCCATCTTTCTGCCCAAGCTTCCCATTCACACAATCACCACAGGCACTTAAAGGGAAGGTGTGGCGCTCTCCTTCCATGGAACATTCCATTAGGCTTCAGCAGAAGTCACTCTTCTCAGACCAGAGTGCCACTGAATATATTGCTAAACTCGAAGCAGAGGCTAAATGGTTGGTAGAAGTATGTGGGTGGAAGTCAGTGTTTCCTCATTTGTCACTGTTGTGGTGCAATTCTTAAAAGGTTGAGAACTTGGAGAGGTCCTTCTCCATCTCAGCATAGTGCTCTCGCAGTCGCTGCAGGGCTCTCTGGTGCTCTTCATCCACTTCAGCCTGGTGGCGGGGCTGTTCTTTCATGAGCTCCTCCCACTGAAGTCCACGCTGCTTCTCACTAGCTACCAAGTGGTCATTATACATCTGAAAAAAGGAAACATCACAGTCACACTCCATCTTTCAGACAACTATTTCTTTTTTTTAAATTGTACATATTTGGTACAGGGTCTCACTACATAGCTTGACTCACAGTGATCCTCCTGCTTTCAGTCTTCCTAGCACTGGGATTATAGGCATGCACCACCACGCCTAGACTCAGTGGCTGGTTCAGCATGCCTGAGGGTGGGCCAGTGTGATATCCAGGAGCAGGGATCAATCCCAGTTCCTTGGCTTGCCTAAGCAGGTCCTTAGTCTGTTGAGCTATCTTGCTGGCCCAAGACAACTATTTCTGTATGTAAAAGACACTGGCATAACTTTATCTCTTGACATCTGGTTACTATAATAACCAGCTAGTGAATCAAGATAAAACTACACTGTATCTTTAATGTCTAAGAAACAGGACATAGAAACAAAGGTTTCTTTACTATAACTGAACATGAATCATCACATTTCTGACATTTCAAAGATACTTTGTATCTATGACTACAGTTCAAGTCATTTTTTATGTGTCTATTATTGTTCAGGTTTCATTTAACCACTTATTTCTTCAAGTTTAAAGAATATAAGCTAAAACAATCACTGTTATCAGAAACTAAAGTATCTTACATAAAAATTTTTAAATGTACTTGAAAAAATTCATAGACTCAATGGAAGAGAATTCAAGCCATCTCCTGTTGCTCAATTCTAGTTCTTAAAAGTAAATTAAAGCCTAAAACATCTGCATGAAACACCCTAGTTCTTGACATGGTCCCTAACATTTCTAGGTAAGAATGTGAACTCATTTTTCTGTTGAGCATTACAAGACAGATGAAACACTACTAAAAAAATACATTATCTTCCCCTAAAGTAGAATTTCAATTATCGGGGCTGGTGAGATGGCTCAGTGGTCTAAAGCACCTACTTAGAACAAGCTTAGCAAAGCACAGGGACCGCGGTTCAATCCTCCAGCACCACATGCCAGCCAGCCCTGCCCCCTGGTGGGCTGAGCTGGCCACACACACACACACACACAAATAAATAAATTAAAAAAAAAAGATTTTCAATCATCATTTTTGAACATATACAGTAAAAAACTACATAGAGAAAGATCATGAAGATATAACTTTAGAGCGATTGCAATTATTCTACATCCACGTTTTCAGAGGACTAAATCTTACTATTCAATACATGATTAGAACCTGTGACAGATGCAAACCATAAGAGCCTACACAGTACCAGAAGTCATTACTAATTCCTGCACATTCATTCCAGGGCTCTAGTGAAACAGGGAAACTTGGTACTAGATTGGTAGCTAAGACATCAGCTGGCAGAAAAATAGTTATGTACTTGGGAAGAGATGGACACGGAGCTACTTGTCCTTGTCGCTCCGCATCCCCTCTCGTCTGGGCCATGAGGGTAAGCTGCTGACAAGGGCTGACTGATCAGGCTACTCTGAGCACACAGATCCCTGCTAGCTGCTTTCCACAGCCTACTAACATCTACAGATGTCTCAAAAAAGATTATATTATTCTCATTTACAAAGAAAAGCTTAAGGTAATTTTTACATCTCCATTGTTATACATCCAATTCCTGAGCTGTCAGTTCAAATTTAGGTCTTCCTGACTTCCACATTTATTTATTTGCCAGCCTGCCCACCTGTCGGTGGTAGTAGGGCTGAAGCAAGGGCCTTCACACTGAAGTATTTTCCCAGTCCTTTAAATTTTTTGTCTTTTGTTACTAAGTCACCCAAGCTGAGACTGAGCTTATGACCCTCCCACCCTAGCCTCCCAGAGTGCTGAGATTACAGGTGTGCACTACCCACACTCAGCTAACTTCACTTTTCAATAAACACAAAATGAAATATCTATGTTCAGGCATCATTTAAGTCTTTTATTTTATTTTAACCAAAGAGCCAACATTGGATAATATGACCTACTGATCTGGCTGATAAAGCTCACCTCGTTTCCCTGTTTACCAGGTAGCACTTTACTAGTGTAGCTTGGGGACAAGGGGATCAAATTTGGGAGACCCACAAACCTCGCTTTAAATTACAGTTCACCCATTGCCTTCTGTAACACACTAAGCAGGTTTAACTTAAAAATGAGGAAAATAATACTTTACATTCATTAAATAATACTCATATATCCGCAACTTTCACCCTCAGTTCATTCCTCTTTGATATACTCACTACTAACTATGTGACTATTGGGAAAGGCTTCACGGTGCTGCCTACGATCAGTTATCTCTATTTTGGAACTGCAAGGTATCCTGATTCAAGATACACACATTCAAGTAGGGTTTTCATATCATTTCTTGGCCCTGAAGTCCAGGTGACAGTAAGCTGAAAGCTGAGAACTCCCAAATTCCTATGGAAATCTGGTCTCACTTTCTTATCAAGAGGTTAAAGTCCCTCCTTTTTATTTTTGCTTAGTCCCCCACTGCTAGTAATAATCACTCTATGCATTTTATGGCAACTAGTAAGAAAATAACAGAGGACGCTGACAATACATTCATGTCTTGAAAATGCTATAGTCAGTCTCCCTATACAAATAAAACTTAGCTAAAACTGTAATGCAAACGTACTGGAAATATAGTTGAGAACTCTGTGGTAAGATCTTTAAGCTAACAACAACGGCAACAGATACCACAAAATCTGTTTCCAAGTCGCCCAGTTCTTGGAAGACTCTGAACCGACCTGGCCTGCATGACATGCCATTCTAATTAGTTAGTTGGGTTTTCAACGAGAAAGAGAAAAGCTGCTGAGATGGAAACACTGAATGAGTCTTCAGTTTTACTGTTCCTTCCAAGGAGTAGACCTAAAACATAGCATTTGGCATAGAAACACAATTCTTTTCCTCCCTCCTCCCATCCCTCCCTCAGTCTCTATCTCTTAGAAGATATTTATCTCCCAGGAGATATCAATCACCATGTTTGCATCATAAAATTTTGCTGTTTTCAATGATATTCAATTCAAGGGCCGGCCAAATAACTCAGCGGATTAAAGTGCTTACAAGTAGGCGCAGGGGCTGGGGTTCGATCCCTGGGCCTGCCATGCCGGCCCTGCCCCCAGGGTGTGCCGAGATGGCAATTTAGACTGGGCGTGGTGGCGCACGCCTGTAATCCCAGCTCTTAAGAGGCTGTAAATAGGCGGATCACTGCGAGTCAGATCTAGTAGTGAGACCCTGAACATCCTGTAGACCCTTCCCTAAAATGCAAAAAGAAAAAAAAAGATGAGTGGGGTGATTTTATGCCAGAGAGATGGCTCTGTGGAATAAACGCTTCCCTGGCAAGCGCAAGGGCCGGAGTTCAATCCCTGGTTCTGCAAAAAACCAAAAAAACAAATGTCCATGGACAGCTGACTTGGTACACCAAATGCAATATATGCAAATAACAGACAACTAGTCAGTCTGAAAAAGGAACAACACTTTGTCACAATGCTACTGCACTGCTGAACCTTGAGGACATTATGTTAAAGAAATAAGCCAGTCACAAAAAGATTATTAATTTGATTATATTTATATAATGTACCCAGAGTAATCAAACTCATAGAGAAGGTAGGATGGCAGTTGCCAGGGGATGGATGAAAAGGGGGATGGGGAGCTCAGTGTTTCATGAGCACAGACCAGGTGGACCACCTCTGCAGAGATGGGGGTGATGCTTGCACAGCAGTGCCGGTGCACCTAAAGCCACTGTAACAGATGTTGAAAAACAGCTAGGTAAGGGCTGGGCAGGGATTAGTGGTACACGGCTTGCCTGGTATGTGTGAGGCCCTGGCCTGGAGCCCCAGCACCAAAATCAAGATTAAAGTACATTCTGTGTTATTTGTAAATCATATATTTTACCACAATAAAACTTTTAAATCAAATTTTAGGTTGTCCTTAAATTAAATTAAATGTATTCTTAAATAAATGGATAGTTATGTTCTAAGAAAAACTTAGAAAAGGCTGACTTTAAAACAATAGAGAGAAAATTTATTTATGGGCTTCAACTGTGCAGCCAAAATCATCAGCCATGATATTGTCGCAGTAAGAAGAGCAAATTGTCTACCCAGAACTGATTTTTTTTTTTGCATTTTAGGGAAGGGTCTACAGTGTGTTCAGGATCTCACTACTAGATCCGACTCCGTGATCTGCCAGTTTACAACCTCATAAGAGCTGGGATTACAAACATGCGCCGCCACACCCAGTCTCAACTGCCATCTCAGCATGCCCTGGGGGGGTGAGGCCGGCATGCCAGGCCTGGGGATTGAACCCCTGGCCCCTGTACCTGCGTGCAGGCGCTTTAATCCGCTGAGCTATTTGGCCAGACCCCAGAACGGATTTTGTAAATGAATTCAGGAATACACAATGAAATGTATGCTTGCTTGTATGAGTCTTAAGTCAGTGATTCCCCCCTGGGGTAGCGTGGGAGGGGGAGCTGTCCTCAAGAGGCTTCTGGTTGTGAGGAAGGGAGGAAGGGTGACTGGCACCTTGTGGGGCAGAGGCCAAGGATGCTGTTAAACATCCTGCAACACACAGGACTTTATCTACAACGAAGAACTATGTATCTGGTCCAAATGTCAGCAGCACCAAGGTTTTAAGAAACCCTGGTCTAAAGGAAAATTCTAAATCAGCCAACTAAGGTTAAGGTTTTGTGGAACTTCTGTCAGTAACATACATGCGTTAATTTTACATATGCCTTCCTTACACAGGCATTGGAAAAGCTAGTAAGTATGAGAATAACAACCGGCAAAAACTTTTAAATACAACAGTACGTACTATTATATTGTGAAGCATTTTCTAACTATCAACACATGGCTCTGTGTGATCTCACTGCTCTCATGAAAAAGAACAATCATAAAGGGGCATAACTAAATCTAAGCCTATGTGGTAAGCTGAAAGAGAAGCAGTCACATTTAGTTCATTATTGTCTCCCTTGTGGTTGAACAGGGCTTCAAAAGTCGATGCCTATACACGAACCTAACTGAAATGACTGCCAGCTACTACTAACCATCTCATCTCCCGGATGGCACATTTTAAGGGCCAGAGAATTTCATAAGCCAAGCACATTTCATCTCATTACTCTTACTGCCAGCACCCAAAATGCAATACGGTATTAGTGAAAGCTCTTAAGATACATTAAATAACTTGGAAATGTGCATTTATTGTTCATTTGAATGTACTTTTAGATATCAATTGTGGGAAATTTGCTTTAGAGGAATGACGCTAATCAATTTACTTCCTACAGAATTCCACAAATTGTCCTGAAATAAAAGAATTAATGATTAATAGCAATAGTTTATTTTATTCCACTACTACTCCCATCTTTCTTTGTTCTGAGAGCCTTTCAACTACAGTGTGGCCAAAATAATAACCTAACCTAACAATTAGCATTAGGCTATAAAATACAAACAGAGCATTTTTGCTTTGTACATACTTGCTACATCAGAGATTAAACTTAACTTTCATGTTATACCTATATTTATCATAAATATATGTAGTTTAAAATCTTTGCTATCCGTAAATTTCAGAAGATATGTCAGTAAAGTAAATCCTTGAATATCCTTCAAATTGTTAATTATATAAGCAAAATATATAAAAAAAATTAAAGACTAAAAATTTATTGTCCAAATAAGAATGTAAAGAATTTTTACTGGGCTATGAAAATGCATCCCTTTAATAATGTTAAGCTGATTAATTTTATTAAATTAACTATCTTGAAAAAAGTCCGCATGACTTCTTATAAATACAGGTTGTATAGACTCAATACTAATTCTTTGGGAAATAACCAGTTTATTCTAAAATACTAATCTTTCCATAAAAAATTAGTTTAACAACATTGCCAGACATAAGGCAAAGAAAAAATATACTCAATCAAATTAAAGCATTCTTACTTCTTGATACCATTAGTTTTTCAGAGGGGGTCTTGTTCTCTGCCCAGGCTGGCCCTGAACGTTTGCTCAAGCAACCCTCCCCCGTCAGCCCTACAAGTGCTGCAGGTGCACCACGTGCCTCACAAGGCCATTTGTCTTTATAAAAGCATACGACTGTATTTTTTAATTTGGAAAAGCATGACTGAGAAAACAACCCAAGTACTTCACCCACTCTCATCCAGAGTGATTAGCTGAATCTTAAACAAATAGGGAGTGGCAGGAAAAAAATTCCACCTTGCAATTTAGAAGGTGCAGTTTGCAATGCTATTTCACATAAACTGTATAATACCATTTACCCCATACAGCTATCACATGAGCAGAGCAGGTATTTATTTTGCAGATGAGGCACTTGGTGCTCAGGATCTCACCCAAGCGCATACAGCAGCTAGAATGTACTTTTAGATATCAATTGTGGGAAATTTGCTTTAGATGGATGACATTTATCAATTTACTTCCTCTAGAAGAGGAAACGGATCACAGAAATAGGAGAAATCAAGGATTTTTTTTTTTAAACCTCATCTGGTCATTTCCCTACTACTTATGCAGTGAATACATCAAAGATGAAAATAATTCAAAGTGGAAAAAAAGAGACTATTTCATTTATAATTTTAGGCTCATTCTGCTCAAAAATGCCAAGGACCATCATTTATCAGAACAGTAACTGTTTTGGTGAGGTCTCAGACCCATTCACATGGTCTTTAATCCTGTGACTATTTCAATCTCACTGCCGTGTGATACAGAGGCCAAGGGAACATGGAATACTACTTTGAACTTCACAGGCAAGGGAGGCAAGATGTGTAGCCAGTAGTCTATCAAGTTGTTTTGCTTCTTAAAAACAGAAATGTTCCTAGTGCCTCCAGAAACACTATTTCATACAGCATTCAAGATCCTCCACAATCATCCTCAATAATATCAACATAGATATTCTACTCTCCACTCCATCTTAAGATTTCTCAAATTACATTCCTTATATTTTTCTTTCAATTACCTAGCAATTAAATTTTTACTTAACCAATCAAGGTTACACTTGAATCCAACCACTTTCCTAGTTATTAAATTCTTTTTGCTAAGATCACACAAAGCTCTTTGTAACCTGATCACAGCTTGCTCTTTGTCCCACATTATATTAATGTTGGCGGCTTGAGACACCTAGACTTTAATTCCTTGAGTGTAGGTGCCTTAAACTTAGCAAATTAAGAGCTTTTATCCCCAGTGGTACTTAGTAAAGTGCAGAGGGTTTTTTTGTTGTTGTTTTGTTTTTTAAAAAGCCAGCTATCCAGGCTGGCCTAACCCACTCCAGCCCAATGCCTGCCACTGTCACTGTCCTTGCATGCCACGCTGGCAACACACTGTCCTGACCATGCTCTGCCATGCTGTCCCTGTGCAGGGAATGGCCCTGCTTCCTGACCTAGCATGCTGCCTCCTGCCACCCCAGGCTGCCTTCCCATCTGTCTTAAATCTCAGCTTCTTTCACTAAAGCTTAAGTCACCAAATTGTAAACATCTAGAGTTGAGGAGAGGGTATAGAAATTAGGACTCTGAAAAGATTCATTCCCTTACGTATTTATACAGTAACAGATCTGAACTTTTATTGTCAATTAACTAAAATGCATTCCAAAGCAGTGGTGATAACAACATTGGCTGATAGACACACATGCTAAAAAGCATTATTTTCTGAGTGGCTCAGTAGTTTCAACATTTCTTCATAGTATATAAGTTACAAAAACAGTTCTAAGTGAAAACAGCAAATTAGCACAGGAACTTAGATTCTTACGCTATTTTTCCACATCTGAGTTTAGTTAAGATATAATTCAAATAAGCAAAGCATTGCCGAACAAGTGATTCACATACTCTTATGACTATTCATTAAATAATCCATCCACAGGCATGAATGCTTCCTTTTCTAGAAGAAATATACATAATACAGTCTATGCTTTAGACTCAAAGGAAAGATTTATATTTCCAATCTGGTGGCTATTTTTGCTCCATGTAAAAGTGCTATTTTTTTCTCTCCTCCATGAGACAAGCACTACTTTCAGGGAAAGATGGAGATACTGAAAAGGAAAAAGGACACCTGTAATTTTGAATTATAAAAGTATTGACGGCTCAAATCATGCAACCACAACCTCCTCGAGCACATTCTCAGTGAATTACATGATTTAAGATCTTTTAAAATTACAATATACAAGAAAATAAATTCAGAGAACTTTCTCATCAAAAGCAACTGCTAACAATATGAAAATAAATGCCCAGCAGTTCTATGCTCCATTACTCCAATTAGCTACTTTTACCTTTCTTCGCTCCTGTTCTCTCTGTTGGAGTCTATGAACACAGTCATTTGCTGCTTGCACTAAAATAAAACAGAAAATAAATTTTCAATCAGTTCCCTGTTCACTAAAAGGCTTACTTGGATTCTTTTCAACCTCCAGAAACAACACAAAAAATACATTATTTTGGTGGCTGGTAAGATGGTAACAGGGAAAAGTTAGTTTTGTCAATATGTTCAAGGATGCTGTAATCAGAACCACCATTATTTCTGAGCTCTGAAATGCAAGCCACAGGGCACATAAGTACTAACTCCAATGACAAGCGGTTCTGGATCACTTTCATTAAGCCATTTTCATCTCTTAAGAACCCAGACTGCCAGTCTAGGTTGGGTGTCCCTAACCTGAAAACCCAAAACCCCAAATGGGGGGCCTGCCCCTTAGCTCAGTTCTTTAAGTGGCTGCTTCCACAAAGCAGTCAGGCTCAGGTTGCTGTGGTTCGATCCCCACAACTCAAGCCAGCCAATCATGCCCTGAAGGCATTCGGAGCAAAAAAAAAAAAAAAACAAAAAACAAAAAACCCTTCCAAACCCCCAAATGCTCCAAAACGCAAACATGTTTAGTGCTGACATGACACATGTGGGAACGCCTCTACCTCCAACAGTGGGTCTCAGGCAAAATTCCGGTGCACTAAAAATACTGTCTGATATTACAATATATAAATTTCTGTGTCTATTAGGTATGTACGAAACATAAATGAGTTTCATGTTTAGATTTAGGTACCATTCCTGAAACACCTCATTTTATTTATAAAAATATTCCCAAACCCAAAAGACCCTGAAATCCCAAACACATCTAGATGAGACTGTAGATAAGAGTTATTCATGTAATAATTACTGTACTTATTGTTTGCTATGTGCCAAGGCATGTGCTAAGAGCTTTACACACACTACCATTCTGAATCCTATTTTCCACTTAGAAAACACTCTATGCTATTGTGCAAACCCTAAAGCTGAGCACAGAGAAGCAACACTGTTACTAAGAGCCACAAAATAACTATGAGGAAAAACATCTTAAAGATCCTTTTATTAAAAGACTTGTCTCTTTACAATCAACACTGTTTCCTCTTATTACTTCACCAGTGAAACCCATTTTAGTTTTTCAGTTACTCAAATATTTTCATTTACTACATCTATTTTATTTTTGCTCACAAAAGTTTCCACAAATAAAGCATTTAGTCCTCAGTGCACAAGCTGAGTCTACCTTAGTCAGACTTAGCTTGAGACGCAGCTGCATGACTGACAAGTTTCCTCGTGCGCCACTCACCCATCCCTCAGACGCCCCCTGAGCATGTGGCAAGTGCCAGGCACTGTGCCTGCTGCTCCCAATCTCTTAGCATCTTAGTCTCCCACTTGTAAAGTGAGCATTTACTGAGAAGAGGACTTCAGGACTGACATGATACATGAGAACACAGGAGACACTATGTTTAAAAAGAAATGATATAAATATTAATAAAATCACTTAGGTTTTCAAACAGTAGTCAATCAAGAAATATTGAATTTATTATATTTTTAAATTATTTCCCTAGTTTCAAAAGGTCATGTAAAAGATATGGCCTTGACAAAGCTCTCCCAGGTTAGTTCTTTCCTGTACAGATTCACCCTACTCTGAAACTGCCTGATCAGGCTGCAGCCGCCACTTATCTGGCATTTGCTTAAACTGGTGGTGATCTGGTCAGTTTACAACTGTGCCTCCCCGCCTCACCCCAGTCAGGCCCGAGGGGGTCACAAGTTCCCTAACTGGGCAGGCACTGAGATTCTCTTTCAGGAAAATGTTAGGCCTTTCCCTCTGGGACTATGTAAAAGAGAATTTCATTTTCAAAAGCTGTTTTTTTATCAGTAACTGTTACTTTTAGTGCTATCAAAGATAGTATTTAAGGACTGAAAATTAAGTTCCTGATCATTGTTTTTTCTTAAAGAAAAAAATGAAAACAAGATGGGAGCTGATTAGATCTGCCTTTTTACTGTGGCATATTAACATTACGTCATCTTCCCCAAGTACTGGTTCCATCATTTCCTTTTTTTTTTTTCCCTTTTTTTCCTGGCTCTGTGAATATAACTTAAAAATCTCTTCTTGTCATCTTTAAGTGTCTCACTGTTTGTAGAACTCAATCTAAAAAGTTATAGCACTGTGCTTCTCATTTGTTCATTTTTACAAAATATAAAGTGTTTATAAAATTTAAAGTGACATTTACATTTTTGGATTTTGTTTTTTGTTGGATACTGGGAATCGAACTCAAGACCTCATGCTTGCCAGGCAGGGGCTGTGCTGTTAAGCTATATATCTGACCCCACGTCCTTTAAATTTAGTCAAACACAACTCATAAAGGTACATTCTGTTCCTTAATGGGATTGTCCTTATATTTGGACAGATTGTCCATTTTAGAAAGTTCAGTTCTGAATTATTTTTTTAATCCTTCAGCTACACAGTAAAATATATCCACTCTCTAGTCATGCTTAACTGAGTAGGAAGCAGTTTCCCCCACTGTCTCAACAGTTCTAAAGAAACTAACTTTAAGAAGTCATCTGAGAGAAGAGTATCCCAAGGAGGCAGTAAGTGCAGCAGCCCTGAAGTGGAGGGTGTGCTTGGCCTATCAGTCAGAAGACCAGGGCAGCTGGAAAGAAGAGAAGGACAAAGAAAATGACAGCAAGATATGAGGTCACAGCCAGGCCACTAGGAAGACACTTCAAAGCCATTATAAGGATTTGGATTTTAATCTATGTAAGATAAGGATATTCTAATACAATGAGAATTGCATCATACAAAAGGATAATTCAGGCCCCTATGTGAAAAGCAGACTATAGGGCGGAAAGAGAAGGAGCAAAGAGATGAATTATGGGGCTATAGAATGAAGAATCCTGTGAGAAATGACTGGTGTAATTCAGGGAGGTGGCAGCCAGTGAGGTGTAAGGATGGTCTGATTCCAAAGTTGAGCCAAAATTATTTTAAACATAGCTCTAGACATGTAGCACTGAGATGCTCATTAGACATCTAGGAGGAGAAAGAGGAAGGAAAGGAGAGGACAAGGGAAGGGATGGCAGAAGAGGGAGGTCGAGAGAGGAGGAAGGCACAGGGCATCCTGGGTGACCAGGCAGCTGGATATAACTCTGGAATGCAAGTATTCCGGTTGGAAATACACATGTGGCATTGCTGATTGTCACAGAAATAATATTCAAAGCTGCGATTTCACATGCGGTCACCAAGGAAGTGAGCACAGACACAAAAGCAGTCTAGGAACCAAGCCAAGGACACTCACTATTAGAAGTCAAGGCAGCAAGTGGGCCTCTGCCAAGCAGACAGAGAAGGGAGAGCCTGTGCAGTGAGAAGAAATCCAAGCAAGCGTGCTCCCAGAAGAGGAAGGCTGTTCTTACATGATTAGAAAGTGATGTCCTGTGAACTGTGGAGTCAGAAGGGCTTCGTATGACAGTTCTCCCAATTATTACAAAAGATCCATCAGTGTTAAGCCACGATACATTACAGTTTTGTACACTATAATGTGGAGAGGATAATAAATATCTATGAAAGTGCTTGCCTGGCAAGCACAGGGTTCTGACTTTAATCCTCGGCACCACCAATAAATAAATAAATAAATAAATAAATAAATAAATATCTATCTATGTTATCAGGTTGTAATAGCCAAATACAATATGCATGTGAAAATTCTAATGAAGTGCTAAAAATAAATATTTTAGATATTAAAGATTCCTAGGTAAAGATAACAGAATGAAGCAAAATCTTAGTCCTCTAAATACCTTGCAAAATAAAATATTAAGTAAAGGTAAAAATGTATCAGCAAATAGGAAGAGAATCATAACTGTATAATACCACATTTGGAAAGCACTGGCCAAGAATAGGCACAGAGATTCTCATAAGGCACTGAGAGTCTGGACATTCCTCGATACCACCAGCCTCCACCAGCCACACAGAAAGACAGACTGACAAAACTCTCAGAATTCTAATACACTTGAATTTGTAGAAAAACAGATGACAAAAGGGAGGGGGGAAAAGAACATAATAGAGAGGACAAAGTAGCTATTCTGAAAGAAAACCTAATAAAATTCTTTGTAAGTCCTTTGCCATACAAAATAACAATGAGTTTAGTAAGAGAGATCAAATGTGATAAAATACAAAATGAAACGAAAAATAAGAATTTCAGAGTTAAAATAAATTGACAGCCATAAAACCATTATAGATGCCATAAATAAACCAGTAAAAGACAGGAATCAAATAGCTTAAGACTAAACAACTGGCAGAATCATGACTAGTGTAGAAAGTAAATATTCTAAACCCTCCCAGAGCTTAGTTTGATCATGTGTGGGTGGGCAAGAGGTGAGGGGCTCAAAGCCCAACCCTCACTCCACACAGCGAGGCTAGCAGTGACAGTACCAATCACAATGCAACACAACAGAAACAAGAAAGCGTGACTCTACCTTTGGGGTGATTTTAATAATCATTTTCCTTAGAATCTTTATGAACTACTATCCTTTAGAGTAAAAGAAACACTCGTTTTAAGGTACTGCCTTCTGTCTTAGGAATGCATCCCGCCAAATGCAAATGAAATTAACAACAAATATTTTAACTTAAGAGTCGAGGATATAGCTCAGGAGCATTAAGTGCCCGCCTGGCAAGCACAAGGTCCGGGGTTTGATCCTGAGTTCAAAAAAAAAAAAATTATTTAAAAATGTTATGAAGGGCTGGCCAGACAGCTCAGTGGACTAAAGTGCCTGCTTAGGCACAGCAGAGGCCACGGTTCGATCCACAGCGTGCTGTGCTGGTCCTTACCCTCAGGGTACACCGCGAGGGTGATTGAGATGGTGTGGCGGCATGGGCCTAGCATCCCAGCACTTGGGAGGCTGAAAACAGGAGAATCACTATGAATCTGATCTATGGAGTGAGACCTTGCAGACGCTGTACTAAATATATAAAAAATAATTTTAAAAAGTTATGATCCTCTGCGTGTGTGTGTGTGTGTGTGTCTATCTCTGTCTCTCTCTCTTCAGTACTAGAGACTGAACCTTGCATGTTCTATCACTGAGGTACATAGATCCTGGCCATAGGAACTTGCTAGGTTTCCCCACATCTGGAACACAGGTGTGCACCACCACACTCAGTTGCTTTTTTTTTTTTTAAGTCTTACGTGGTGGTATAGTTCAGTGGTAGGGTACAATGAAGCCTACCACTGAACTCCTCAATACCAAACAAAATACCAAAAAAAGACACAACTTTATTATAATTATTTCTTTTTCTTACTACTTCATAGAATATTCTTTTTAAGTAGATAGAAAATAAAATTTTTGTGTTTTAAAAGAGGAGAGGGGCACAGAACATTGTTTCACCATGGCCATGTACGGTCCTTCGAAGGAGGGATAACTCGGAGGTTCTTCATGCTCCTAACTCCAATTATAAGGGAGTGCACACCACGCCCACATCTCATGACCCCATGCTGATGGCACTTACAAGCCCACTGAACAATCATTAAATGGAACTCAGACACCATGTGTCTTCATGAAGAGAACAACTGAGAAAGCCTGCATACTGATGACAAGCTGACTTTGGTTGCTTTCTCAGATCCTCATTTATTTTTTGTGGCAATTTTTTTTTTTTTTTTTTTGCAGTACAGGGATTGAACTTGGGACCTTGTGCTTGCCAGGCAGGTGCTTATGCCATTGAGCTATCTCCCCAGCTAAAATGTCAAATTTTTAAAGATAAAAACTGGTTAGGAAAGATAGCTGGCTCAAGCTAATTTTAAAACACCAACTTTAGAGGAGGCTGATTATTTCTGTTATATTGTGACCCTCAGCATAGTAAGTACAATAAATTCTTATGGGAGGGCTCTAAAGAAGAAGCTTTGCCTGTTTGAAGCATGAAAAATCTACAAAAAACACTGCTTGGTTTCTAAAGCTAGCAGTAAGATCCAAAGTATTTCAAATATATAGAAATCCTAATTATTAAGTTCACATCTTGTATGCTTTAATTCTTCCACTGAAGAAAACACATTTTCAGTTTAGATTCTAAATCATCAGTCTTACTTTTCTATTTTACTGGGAAGACTTAAGAAACGAGTCTTCACATTAGAAATGGATTTGGCTTAAGAAGCTGATGACAGTTTTTTTTACTGAGTCTTATTCAATTTAATTTTATAAACAAAGCATGGAAAAGAAGTTATAGGCACATCTCAAATGCATACCTGGGCATTCTGATTAATAATAATAATTAATAATAATTGGAGTTTTTCTCTTAACATGATCTAGAATGTCTGTCAGGGTAAGAGATGTGGCAGGAGAAACAAAAACATATTTATGAAAGAAAAAAACAAAAAACAAAAAACAAAAAAAAGCACCTAAAATCAACTTTAGACTTTTTGCTGCTCCAGTCACAGAAACTTGTGGAAGACAACCTGAGCACTGTCCTGGAAAGAAGAGAGTTGTCTCCATTTTGGCTGAGCCTGACCCGACTTTTGTGCACTAATATGTACAGAGCTGGCTAGGACTTTGCCTTATCCCTTCAACTGCCTTTAAGCAATGCATACTGGTCTAGCAAAGACGCTGGTGGTAGTCTCTGCTTCGGGGAACCATTCTAAGAAAACGTTTGAAGACCAGGAATTAGGAGGATTTATGAAAGGAAGCTTTCAGGACCCCAAACTTAGTTGTTCAGATTGCCAGATATAGGCATGCAAAATTAATCAAACAATTAAGTATTAACTGTTTTTTCAATAAACCAGTAGAAA